ACCCCTTCCTTTGCTCTAACTCTCTCAGATACTCCAGATTTAATCCCATTTATTTCCCCCCACTGAAACTCTCCTACCCCCTTCAGCTTTGTTTCGCTAGGGCCAGGACATCCAACTTCTTTTCATTCATAACATCAGCAATCATCTGTTTCTTGTCATCCGCACTACATCCACGCACATTTAAGCAACCCAGTTTTATAAAGTTTTTCTTCTTCTCTTTTTTAGTAATTGTATACAGGAGAAGGGGTTACTAGCCCATTGCTCCCGGCATTTTAGTCGCCTCATACGACACGCATGGCTTACGGAGGAAAGATTCTTTTCCACTTCCCCATGGACAATAGAAGAAATAAAAAAGAACAAGAGCTATTTAGAAAAAGGAGAAAAACCTAGATGTATGTATATATATATATGCATGTGCGTGTCTATGAAGTGTGACCAAAGTGTAAGTAGGAGTAGCAAGATATCCCTGTTATCTTAGCGTGTTTATGAACAGAAAAAGAAACCAGCAATCCTACCATCATGCAAAACAGTTACAGGTTTTTGTTTCACAGTCATCTGGCAGGACGGTAGTACTTCCCTGGGTGGTTGCTGTCTACCAACCTACTACCTACAAGGGGTAGATATGCTGACAAAAAAGAGATCGCAAATTCTCGAAGTAGTGGAGAGGTTATTGTTGGTGTGGATTACCCAATAACAGTTAGCAGGAGATAGTATTATGTATACAATCGATAATTTGTGAAAAGGCAAGGCAGTTGCATGACGATCTCGTAAAGCTACGAGTGCTGATGTTTGTGATTTTAAGGCCTGCAAAGGCTGGTTTGAGATATTTAAGAAGCGTAGTGGCATACATAGTGTGGTAAGGCATGGCGAGGCTGCCAGTTCTGACAAAAAAAAACAGCTTATTTTTTTTTTTTTTAACAAGTCGACCGTCTCCCACCGAGGCAGGGTGACCCAAAAAGAAAGAAAATCCCCAAAAAGAAAATACTTTCATCATCATTCAACACTTTCACCTCACTCGCACATAATCACTGTTTTTGCAGAGGTGCTCAGAACACAACAGTTTAGAAGCATATACGTATAAAGATACACAACATATCCCTCCAAACTGCTAATATCCCAAAACCCTTCCTTTAGAGTGCAGGCATTGTACTTCCCATTTCCAGGACTCAAGTCCGGCTATATAAAAATAACTGGTTTCCCTGAATCCCTTCACTAATATTACCCTGCTCACACTCCAACAGATTGTCAGGTCCCAAATAACCATTCGTCTCCATTCACTCCTATCGAACATATGCTCATGCACGCCTGCTGGAAGTCCAAGCCTCTCACCCAAAAAAACTCCCCTTATCCCTTCCTTCCAACATTTTCGAGGACGACCCCTACCCCGCCTTCCTTCCCCTACAGATTTAAATGCTCTCCATGTCATTCTACTTTGATCCATTCTCTCTAAATAACCAAACCACCTTAAACAAACCCCTCTTCAGCCCTCTGACTAATACTTTTATTAACTCCACACCTTTTCCTAATTTCGACACTCCGAAATTTTCTGCATAATATTTACACCACACATTGCCCTTAGACAGGACATCTCCACTGCCTCCAACTGCCTCCTTGCTGCTGCATTCACAACCAAGCTTCAACCCCATATAAGAGTGTTGGTAATACTATACTTTCATACATTCCTTTCTTTGCCTCTGTGTTCAGGAAATTCAAGGGGTACATAGAGACTGAACAATTCAAAACCCAGCAAGTGTTCAATTATGACAAAACAGGCCTCTTTGGGAAAAAATGCCAAAGAGGACCCACATTACGCAGGAGGAAATGGCAACTACCAGGACACAAGCTTATGAAAAGACAGGCTAACTCTCATGTTTTGTAGTAATGCTAGTGGGGATTAGAAAGTAAAGTCTTTACTTGAGTATCACTCTGAAATTTCCAGTGTGTTCAAGAAAAACAGTTGTCAGCAAAGGCTAATTTGTGTGTGATGTGGAAGGCTAACAGTAAGGCATGGGGTCAAGAGGGAAACATTTTCCTTGATTTGGTTCAATAAAGAAATTTGGCCCCAGGTGAAGAAATACCTCCTGGGAAAATCAATCGGAACTGAAGTGCTTCCTGGTAATGGACAATGCTCCTGCTCATCCTCCAGACTTGGAAGAGCAAATGGTGCAGGAGTTTCGTTTCATCACAGTGAAGTTCTTGCCCTCTAATACCACTCCTCTCTTCCTGTCCATGGACCAGCAGGTCATTTCAAACTTCAAAAAACTGTACACCAAAGCAGTTTTTTCAAAAGTGCTTTGAAGTGGCCTCAGACACTGAACTGAACCTAAGAGAGTTCTGGAAAGATCACTTGAATATCCTCCACTGCATAAACCTTATAGGTAAGACTTGGGAGGGAGTGACTTCCAGGACTTTGAACTCTGCGTGGAGAAAATTGTGGCCACAATGTGTCATCCAGATGGATTTTGAAGGGTTTGGGGCTAATCCTGAGAAGCCTATGCCAGTTGTGGAAAGTAATGTGGCATTGTGGAATTCCATGGGGTTGGATGTGAATTTCATGGATGTGGAAGAGTTGGTGGAGGACCATGATGAAGAGCTAACCACTACAGAGCTTCAAGACCTTCATCTGCAACAGCAACAGACCAAAGCTCAGGAAATTGCTTCAGAGGAGGAGGAAGAGAGATGGAGGAAGGTGCCTTCTTCAAATTTTAACCCTTTCAGGGTTGGTGCCCTACTAGTACGGCTTACACGCCAGGGTTGGTGTCGTACCAGTACGCATAAATTTTAGCGCCTTCAAATTGAGGGGGGGGGGGAGAGTTGGTAGGCCTGCATGTGATACAATGGGTCTCTTTGGTTAGTGTGTGCTGTAGGAAAAAATTCCATGCACCCCCACTGCATTGTGGGAGTGATAATTCAGTGCTCCTTTGTCACAAAGCCAAGCGATAAGGAATACCTCACTCTCCAGCAGTGTGGGTGGTGAGAAAGGCAGTGGAGGGGGATTGGAGGTAGTGTGGGTGGTAGGGAAGGGAGCGTGGGTTTGTGTAAACTGGCTGGCTGACTGGCTGGGGCTGTGCTGCTGTGGCTGGCTGTGGCTGGCTGTGGCTGGCTGTGGCTGGCTGTGGCTGGCTGTGGCTGGCTGTGGCTGGCTGTGGCTGGCTGTGGCTGGCTGTGTGTGGCTGTGTGTGGCTGTGTGTGGCTGTCGTCTGTGCGTCTGTCTGTCTGTGTCTGTCTGCTGGTCTGTGTCTGTGTCTGTGTCTGTGTCTGCTGGTCTGTCTGGTCTGTGTCTGTCTCTGTCTGTCTGTCCCACAGTAACACAAATACAGTGGACCCCGTTAACGATTTTTTTCACTCCGAAGTATGTTCAGTGCAGTACTGATCGATTTGTTCCATAAGAAATATTGTGAAGTAGATTAGTCCATTTCAGACCCCCAAACATACACGTACAATCGCACTTACATAAATACACTTACATAATTGGTAGCATTCGGAGGTGATCGTTATGCGGGGGTCCACTGTACAATTATACATAGTGTAAATTACCTAGGATAACCCAAAAAATCCAGACTGGCAAATAATACTTATCGGGACTCAGATGTGACGCAGTGACTACTGCGTTGTGTGTAATATGTGTTGGTTCACTAGTGGCTCTCTCTGAGACAAAGAGACAAGCAGATAGATACACAGACAGACATGTTTATGTAAAGTGAAAACAAATAAAGTGAAGGCAGTGTACCCCCATCATATGTCACCGCTGACATTAGTGAAGTGATAAAACGACATTCATCAAATGTCACCACTGTCATTAGTGAAGTGATAAAACGACATTCATCAAATGTCACCACTGTTATTAGTGAAGTGATAAAACGACATTCATCAAATGTCACCACTGTCATTAGTGAAGTGATAAAACGACATTCATCAAATGTCACCACTGTCATTAGTGAAGTGATAAAACAACATTCATCAAATGTCACCACTGTCATTAGTGAAGTGATAAAACGACATTCATCAAATGTCACCACTGTCATTAGTGAAGTGATAAGATAAGACGAGTGACACACAGGTCTTACACCATGTTTCAATTATTATTATCATTATTATTATTATATTCTCCCTTGTATCCTAGGTAATTTACACTATGTATAATTGTATTTATGTGTACCTGTGAGACAGAGACAGACAGAGACAGAGCCAGCCAGCCAGCCATGTTGTTCACAGAAACCCACACTCCCTTCCCCACCAAAACATTGCTGGGACCTATAAATGTATATATTTCTAGGCAATAGTATGTGACTAAAATAGGTGAAAATGTTCACCTGTCAATGTTTGCGCAGCTATTGTGTAGAATACAACGAGTGTCTATATCCAAAATATTGCGTATATTGGTCTTACAGGCCATAAAAGTTAATTGAAAAAATAAAATGTTAAAAACTAAAAGAAAAAAGTAGGAAAAAAAAAAACTATTACTGCATGACCGGCAGTCAGCAATATTGCCATAAGCGGCTCACGTTCTGTCAACTTCAGGCCTTCATATCTCAGTCAGTACGATCACAAAAAAAAAACTTTTGGCCTATAACACTCACAAAAGTATGCTCTATCATTTCATAAGATTTTTTTTTTTTTTTCAAAAATTTTTCAACCATGAGAACAAGTTTGGGAACAAGTTTTGCCACAAAGTGGCAAAACGTTTTTGAACTGGACACAGGTGTTCTTTTCCACACCTACATGGAATACTGTGGAAAAAAGTGAAAAATGCTGCATAATGCAATGCTTTACTGGGCTACTGCATTTGTGTCTATTATTCTGTGGTGCTGGTATTTTATACAATTTATCTCCGATGGGGAATACTTTCCTTGAAACAAAACAGTGACACAGTGACCCAGACACATCAAGTTATAATGTAGTCAGTGTTTTAATGAATGCTGATGCTCTCTGAATTTATTTTTTCCCCTGTGTATGCTATTTTTTCAATTAAAAAAAACGGTTTTCAATAAACAACATACCTGAGAACATGCAAATTTCATTTCTGGATACTCCTCCATCAGGTTCAAGGTTGAGACCCAGGACCGAGCACACTTCCGCTTCGCCTCTGAGTAGGGCCACAGCCATGCAGAGTCAATGTGACAGTTGCCAATAAGTGCCAATGTATGGGCCCTGGCACCATTACCTTTTGAGAGAAGGTAGTTGCAATCTTACTAGCCAAACTGAAAAAAAAAAATTAAAGGACGAATTATTATAAAATTTAAAAATCACAATTACAGTAGACTGCCCATTTACCCCTTAAACTGTCGAAACATAGATCTACGTACCTCATTGGCACTCTGAATATTTTGAAAAAATAAAATAAAAACATTTTTTTTTCTTAGATGAAGAGCACATTTTTTTACATGTTATAGGTTTAAAAAATTTTTTGGGTCTGTACTTACCGAGATATAAGACCGTGAAGTTGGCTCTAGATGCTCACCTGATGGCAACAGTGACTCCTCCCGCTTGCAGAAGTGTTGCCGATATACCTTTTTTCTCGTTTTTATTTTCATTTATACAGGAGGGCCCCGCTTTAACGGCGTTTCACTTTATGGCGTTCCGCTAATACGGTCATTTAAAATTTATGACCAAAACTCCTATACGGCTCCCCCCACCTGACTTTCTAATACGGTCACCGTGCCCACCCTGTTTTTTTTACATTCTCCGTGAGCTCAGTAAGCACTAAGTCTCTCTCCCTTTTGTTGGAAACTCCAAAATTTCAAATGTTTTTAAAGTTATTTCATATTTTATATAATTTCTCTGATAATTATACTTATGTTTTACCTGTACCTAAATAAACTTTTCATACTGTGCTGGCATGCAGGGACACATTAAAATCGGTAAGTGTCCTTATGTCTCCAGACGTCATATTAGTAATGATAATAATAATCATCGAGTCATTTAAATGTCGTATATTACGTTAATATACACATTTTCATTAATCCATCTATGATATTTTTTTTCAAAATTATATAATAAACCCCGACGCATAACATATAAATAAGATAAATACACCCCACAGTAGAATAAATAAACATAAAAAGTGAGATGTGGTAGCAGACGACTTGCACAAGTGACGCCATATTAGAAATAATAATAATAACAATACTCACCGAGTCTCATTAAATGTCGATATTACATTAATATACACATTTTCATTAATCCATCCCCTGATATTTTTTTTTAAAATTATAAAATAAACACGATACATAACATAAAAAGATGATAAATACACCCCACAATAGAATAAATAAACATAAATATAAAAATGTGGGAGCCAGAAAAACTTGTACAAGGAGGCAAGAATAACATTTTCTCATCTAACTAAGAGAAAAAGTGTTACTTTTTGGGAACGTAGAAAATTAATCCTTTTTTATGTAGTAAATTTATTCAGGTATAACAAATACAGTTGCATAGATTATCATACATAACAACATATGTTTTGGGAAAAACCTGGGGATAACCCAAAAAAACGTGTGATTATTTCTTGCCTCACCAAGTTTCATTTTCTAAAAAGATTTTTACATGAGAATGGGAGTGTTCTTTTTTAAAATTAATTCACCGACAATGAGAGACATGACACAAGTAACTTGAACCCAAACCGACGTTACCTTGTTTGTTTTCAAAAAATTACATTCGCCTGGTTTTTTACATAACTCTGCGCCTTCCCCTATGACCTTCTTTCTCTCTCTCATTTTTTCGTTTTTTTCCATTTTCTTCTCTGACCCTACATTAAGACACAAATATTTTAAGGGAAGTAATGAGTGAATGAAATCATTTTTTGCCTGGGATCTTTAAATATCATAGAATATATGTTGGGTGGGGGTTTGGCCCGGTTGCGCCCGGCTGACTACCAAAACACCACATTTATTTTTTTTTTTCAATAAATACTACTCATCTCACCCTATTTTTAAGGGAAGTAATATGAACTGTTAACATTTTATTGCTCGGATGCTTTAAAATCATAGAAAGTTGTTTGGGGGGGGTGGCCTGGGAAGGTAGCCTGGGATTTCCATACATACCACACTTTATTTTTACAATAAATATACTTTTTCACCCTGATTAAGACTATAAATATTTTAAGGTAAATAATGAGTGCCTTATGTGTTTAATTTTCTTTTTTATTTTTTGATGCCTGGTTCTTTGTAACTTTAAAATATGTTATGTAAACTTGTTATTAGTGTTTGTTCATTTTTAATGGAAAAAAAGGGTGTTCCACTTTAGGGTTTTTCCCCTTTACGGCGGGGGCCTGGAACCAACCTGCCGTTTTAAATGGGGCCCGCTGTATATTTTTTAGTTGTGATAATTTTCAAAATATATTTCTTGTGATTTCATGCCAATCTTTGTTCTGACATAATATTAGATACTGAAATAGCCCCAAATAGTCAAAATCACATTGGCAGGTGAACATTTACCCCTCCCCTGGTTATTTTTATTCCCTAAAAATAATATAAAGTATTTTAGGCCCCGCAATGTTTTGTCCCCTGGGTATCCTTTGAAGAGGGTGTTATAAAAAAGGCACCCCCTATATGTACTGTTGACACCCCAGTGACATTTGATAAATGCCCATGCCCCAGCAACCCTCACTGCATTTTTTATCATGTTACACCAAACATGTCTTGCCCTTGTTATCTATTGTCTATTCCTGTCTACCTTCCATTGCCCTTTTGTCTGTCTCTGCTTATTTTTTGTTCCCTGGGTATACATATATGAAACCCCCTTGAAGAATGGTGTTTTGACAACTGTTTTTAGCTCAGAGACTTTTGAAAAACGGGAGTACGGGGAACCCGGGGCTAAATTTGTTTTATGATCACACAAACATGTTTGTCCATCTGTTACTATCGTCTGTTGTCTATCTATCTTTGTTATCTTTGCCGGGTTTTTTTTTGGGTTATCCTAGGTATAAAAAACTGACTTATGTGTACAGTGAGCAGAGTATGTGCAGGATAAAGATAGACAGAGTATAGATAGACAAGTATTAGATGGATATAGACAGTTGAGATATAGCAGAAGGAAATAGACAGAGAGACGCCGAAAAGCCAAAGAAGCCAGCCACGGCTACCCTGCCGAATAAAAAGAAGAAGGAACTTGAAGCGGGCCTCTGGCCCATGCAAGGAAGGTCCATGTCCCCCCCCACCCTGGCTTACCCCAATAACACCTGTCAGGTCACATTCATTGAAGGAAGGAGCATGACATCGGGCCCTATAGACAAGCTGTAGGCCCAACTCTTCCCCACCACACCCCTCATTATTTATCTAACCTCTTTTTATTTTCCCCTTAAAATGGGAGTTTTTTAATGCGCATGGTCAGTGAATATGGTGTTTCCACGTTTTTGCTTTTAGTAGCACTAAATTAAACTGGTGCTCCCGCAAAGTACAAAGTGCCCCCAGTTTTTTTTAAATACTGCGAATTTGGTGCACGCCCCATTTTTTTGTCTAGGCGACTCAAGCCTATTTGGGAAAATTTAAAGGGAAAAAAAAAATAAAACATGACTCGTTCGGCGCTATGCATGAAAACGTAGATTCTTTGGACAGTGTAAGGGTTAACACGTAGTTACTTTCCCTGGAAATGCCGTGTGGGTAAAACCGTGTTAGATGAACTGAAGAACTTGTGGGAAAAAAAAGGTTACATTCCAGAGAGCCCCAAAAACCCAAAACAATTTTTTTGGGGCCTCCCCCAGTTACAAAATAAAAGTAAATTGTAATTGTAGTTCTTTGTTATGTATTTTTGTTGTTTTTACTGCTTAAGATACAAATGTAACAGAAATAAAAGTATTTTTCCCTTAAATTGTGGTGCTGGTGTTTGTGGATGTTTGTGAAGAGGGGAGGTTATGCTGGGGCCCTACTGGGCTGAGGTGGAGGTAGAGGTTTGGTTTTAAAGTCGATGATTATCTGGAGTGTCACTTAAGTCAGTCAGTCGTAATTCTTCACACAAACTTATATTTACCTCTTTTTATGATACTAAGAAAACTTCATTATGCAAACGGTTATTCTTAAAAATTTTGGTGAATTCGAAATATGTAAAGAAAAAGGAAAAAAGTGCAACAAATGTGACTTTTTATTGTGGAAATGTTTCGCTCCCCAGGAGTTTTTGTCAACCCTTTTACAAAAAATATAGGGACCAAAGGGTTGTATAGGTTTTAAAGTGAGGGTAATACTAGTGGTAGTAGTAGTGGATTAAAAATTGTGTAGTGGAATAATGCATTAAAATTGCTATGGAAAAAAGGAATAAAAGCTATTATTTGGGGTAGCAAAAAAAAAAAAGGACAAATTTTCTATTGGAGGTTGAATTAGAGAAGGTCTGTTTCAGTTTTCATCCTCTGTAATGTGCTTGTGTGGAAATTAAACGGGAAAAAGACTATGTGATGGCAGGGTTTACGTTTTCAGGGGGGATTCTTGAAAGATTTCAGAGATAGTGAAGCTGCCTTTGTTTTGTTTTTTTAGTTTTTTTGATCCTTTTTTGGGGCTCCCTGAATTTCATGAGTGTTTGGGGGAAATTTTCCGTGTTGTACCAGGTTCTTCAAGTTATTGTTAACAGGCATAAATGTTTTTCATTGAGGTGGGTGTTGAGGTTTTTTTTTGCTGTTTTCCCTTGTAAATCTTGTAGCAGCCTCCACGGGATTAGTGAAAAACCCTTGCTTGACTTTTCGTGGTGTTTTGGTTTTTGCCCGGGTTTGTCCTTTGTTGAATTTGGGGAAAGTGATGGGATCTAGTGTTAGCTTGTGAAATATTTAAAAATGTTCGTGCAACCGGGTTGTTGGGGAAGAATTATACTTTTTTGGGGAAATGGTTTTTGGTGCTGGAAAATTAATGATCTGAAGAGCTTTTTTTGAATCTTTATGAAAAAATAAGGAAAATGTAATCAGTGAACGTTTGGTGAATTAGAAATTTCCTGCTAGAAACTCAGGACTATAAATTCGGTATGGATGGGAAAAATCTGATGTGACCCTCTTTGGTCTTAGTTCTTGATGGAATGAAGTGTGTGAGATCATTGTTTTTTGGTAGGTTTCCCGGAAAACTTAAAGTTTTGGCTGTTACTACAGCAGGGAAATGGGGTCCCCATCGTGCCGTTCACCCAACTTGACA